CCTGGGTATTCACTATGGCCAAAAATAAGATTCTGAGATAAATAGCTCTTAGACTGAATGAAGGCGACTTTTTATGATGTTTCGATGTGTACATTGCTCCCTGAGAGAGTGTGTCCTTGAAAAGTGTTCGATGTCCACTGTTGATTTTTTTGTACAAGCAGTTTGTAAGTAACTTTCAGACACTCTTGGTTATAGGTCACAATGCAGAAGTAGAATTGAAGGTACATGACAGAATGGTGGCTGTTTGCTTAGAGCCACAAAATCACAGTGCTGAAATGCACATAGCAGAGTGTTGATGAGATACAAGGATGAACATGGCAAATAGTAGTCATTAATCTTCTGCTCTTCGGTTGTCTAATCAACTGTTACTTAATACAGTTTACAAAAAAAAGCTTTAAAGATATTTCCTGATACCCTAATCATTAGTTTTATGAGTAATTTATTTTTCTACTTTTATTTTGGAAGGCCACATCTGTCCCAAATTTTTCCTACATGGGAGCACGGTTGTGTAACTATCTATCTCACCATCTAACCATTAGTCCACAAAGTGGGAACTTTCGACAGTTGTTGCTTCAAAGGTCAGTATCAGCACGTCCTTGTAAGCCTGTTAGTTTCTTAGGTTACATGTCTCTCTGTCTTGTGTGTAACTCTTACTGCCACATGCAAAGAGGTATGTATTCAGGATAGCAATATAGATTGAGGAGTGTTGAAGCACAGGTACATACTTTAGAATATGAAAATAGAACTCCATCTGGAGTCCCACAGGCTCTTTTGTATTGAGTGTCTCAGACTGATCCCAAATAACTTTAAATTGGAAAGCTAATCAACTTTAGAAGTATACTAAATGCCCATGTATGTACTATCCTTGTCCTTTGACTCTTACCAGGACTTAGTTCATTGTGGTTTTCTCTTTTATTACATTTTTTTTTGGCTGGACTTGCTGTATAAGGTTTATTCACTGATTGGTTAACTAACTTTGTATCTATGAAGTAGATGTATAAAATCCAGAAGTATACATTTCTTCAGTTACTACAGAGTTCTGGGGCCTTATGGTTTAATAATTACTAGACTTGGTAGTTGACAAAAATGCAACATTACTTAAATGGTTATATTTCCTTTAAAATCTTACTGCTTGACATTTGAAGGAGTACTGCACTTGGATACTTCAGAATTCTTTAGAAATTAGCAATTTTTTTCCTTTTGGGATATGTAGCTTTCTGTCCTTCAGGCTTGCTTCTTATTTTAAAACTTTTGCTTAATGCACTTATGAAACAAAAGCATGATAAACTTTCACAGCAATGCATTCTGATGATCTTTTATCATGAGTGGCACCTTATGAAGTGTTGTGGTTTAACCTGGCAGGTAGCTAAACACCTTGCAGCCCCTCGCTCACTTCCCCCCAGCCCCACAGTGAGATGGGCAGGAGAACTGGCGTGGAGGGAGGGAAGTAAAATTCTTGGATTGAGATAGAGACATTTCAGTAGGACAGAAAAGGATGGGAAAATAAAAACAGTGACAAAATAATTAGAATATACAACACAAGTGATGCACCATGAAGTTGCCCATCACTCACCCAGTGACACACCGTGCAGTTGCTCACTACCCACCCACTGATGCACAACCAGTTCCCAAACAGCAGCCCCTGGCCAGCTTTCTCCTTAGTCTGTATGCTGAGTGTGAGGCCACATGGGATGTAATATCCCTGTGATCAGCTGGGATCAGCTGTCCTGACTTTGTCCCCTCCCAACTTCTTGTGCCCTTCCAGCCTGCTCACCAGTGGAGTGAGGTGGGAAGTGGTAAAGTCCTTGATTTAGTGTAAACACTGCAAAGCAACTGCTAAGACCAGGACATGGAGAAGCTGGAAATACTAATTTTTCCCATTTCTTTTTCAAAAATACCACTCCTGTTTTGTTAATTGTGTATTACTTTAACATGAAGGAAACCCCTGTTAATCTTGGATTTTCTAGTTACCATTTTTAAAGCAAACCCAAAAGATAACATCCATTTTTGCATCCTGAAGCCTGAGTCTAAACTTGCTTATGTTTTTAATGCTAATATGCATGAAATTGGAGGGTGTGTGCAGATAACCTAACAATATGACCACAGAGAGGTCCGCTTCTGTTTCTCAGCCAAGTTTGTACCTGAAATTTTGTATTTTGGCTCTTTAGATTTTTCAGTTTCTCTGATAGTTCTTAATCCATTATACATTTATTGAGAATACATTGGAATTTGTGTGGCTTTCCTTTTCTCTCAGCTGAGTTTTGGGTTTTTTTTGTTTTTTGAACTGCTATGTAAACTTGTAGAAAAATTGCTTCACTGCCATATTATCTTAATCCTATATATTTGTATTTATATCTAAATTACAGAATCATAAAATGGTTTGAGTTGGAAGGAACCTTAAAGACCATCTACTTCCAACAATCCTGCTGTGGGCAGGGAGCCTTCCAGTAGACCAGGTTGCTCAAAGCCCCACCCAACCTGGCCTTGAACACTTCCAGGAATGGGGCATCCACAGCTTCTCTGGGCAACCTGTGCCAGTGCCTCACCACCCTCCGAGTAAAGAATTTCTTCCTAATACCTCATCTAAACTTATCCTTTGTCAGCTTAAAGCCATTCCCCCTTGTTCTGTCACTATGTGCTCTTAGGAAAAGTTGCTTTCCAGTTTTCTTGTAAACCTCTTTTTGGTACTGGAATGCTGATACAAAGTGTCCCTGAAGCCTTCTCTTTTCCTGGCTAAACAACCCCAACTCTCTCAGCCTGTCTTCACAAGGGAGGTGCTCCAGCCCTCTTGGCAACTTAGTGGCCCTGTCTGGACTCACTTAACATGCCTGTGTCCTCCTTACGTTGAGGACCCCAGAGCTGGATGCAGTGCTCCAGATGGGGTCTCACAAGAGAGGAGTAGGTGGACAAAATCACCTCCCTTGACCCACTGCTCACACTGCTCTGGGTGCAGCCCGGGGTGTCATTTACTTTCAGGGCTGCAACACATAGTTCTGTCATTCGAGGTTTGAGCTTCTCCTCAGCCAGGACCCCCAAGCCCTTCTCAGCAGGGCTGTTCTCAATCCATTCTCAGCCCAACCTGTGCTTGGGATTGCCCTGACACATGCGCAGGACCTTATACTTGGCCTCATTGAACTTCATGAGTTTCACAGCTCCACCTGTCCAGCCTGTCATGGTCCCACTGTGTGCTATCTCTTCCCTCTAGAATATCACTTGCACCACTCAGGTTGGTGTCATGAAATGTGTGTCATTGTCACTTAAAATGGTGAAATAAAGAATTTTTCATGTAAGTGTAAAGGCATCTATGACATTATGGGCAACACCCTGAAAGGGGGAACATGTCTACTGCTGGGGACATTTGGCTGCTTGTGCTAGTGTTACACGTCCTGGACCCATATTATAATATGTAAATTATATAGCTATCTTAATTTCTACATGTTGTAAGTTGCTCTGTTTCATTTTGCTGCATCAGATACCGTAGTGCTTGTTAAAGACAAGATCATGCAATCATATGTATTCATCTAAAAGGATGCAAATCCCTGGTTTCTTTGTGAAGGCCTCTCATTTCCTTCACAACTTATACTTCCCAGGGTTCAGCATCTAACACTTCCATGCAGCTCCCAAGTTCTTAGCATTCCTTTAGATGAGAAGCATGTTGCATATGTTAGGATATCTACAGATGATATGGTTTTGTTTCAATGTTTACAGGTGTCAAACAGAGTATGAAAACAGGGATGAAGCCACCAAAGGAGATGAGGCTACTAGAAAACAGTTTCATGCCTTTGTACTGTTCTTAGCTGAACTTTATCTCAACCTAGAGGTAAGAAAATTGCCTGTCACATGGTTCTTCATTTATTTTCTGTTGTGTTTAGGTAAACAGTTAAATGGAATATAATTTGAGATGTTTTTCTAAGGGGAGAGGGGAGTAAAGTAAGAGAACTTTAGAACAGTTTCATTATATTGTGTGTGTACAGGAAACATAAACAAAAAAGGACAAGATGATTAGAAGAGACATGTATAAAAATTAAAGTCTAAGAATTCATGAAAAGAACCAGCCATAAAAGACCTTTGATATGAAGCCTTTGGTATTTTCTTTTACTGAAAAAAAACCCAGGTGACTATATTTAACTAATACAGCCTAGCAGAAGCAGATCAGGATCAATAACCCATGGTATTCAATATGCAGACACTAATAGGAGGTGTTAACAAACCCTTGAGGAAGAGGCTGAAATCCTCAAAATGAGGAATTAAAAATGCAGACCTTTAAAGATATTTCTTCTGATGGTTGAGTCCTTGGCTTATGCATGAAATCCTGTATTTACATTGTTTTTCTGTATAAGTACAAAAAAGTGCACAAAAATTTCTTTCGCCCTTATGCCTGTGCATTCACCAGGTTCATTAACTGCTGTGGTGTACTTAATATGCTTCTGATTATTTCAACACTATAAAAGTATTCTGCTGGCATGAGCAAAATCATTCTCTGGCTTCCATTTCTGTTCATAAGTGGTCCTGAAAATCTACTCTTCACTTGTCAGAAGCAAAAAGAAAGATTTGCAAAGAGTTTGGAGGAGGGGAAGTTGTCCATTTGTGGAGTATACCATACTCTGTAGGGTATACCATTTGTTTTTAAACCATTTTCTATAACTTTTGTCATATGTAAAGAGTGTCTTCTAGTAATAATCCACTACAGCTGTAGAGAATACATAATATAGTAGAAGAAAAGAGCATGGGGTTCTGGGAGTTTGCTATTTTGTGGACCATTTGGTAGCTTTTCTTAGCATTTTTTTAGCAGAGAAACAAAATGCTATATAAGCATTGTTATGTCAGAATTGTAAGGATATTACTCAGAATAACTTTGGTGATGTCCATGGTTCCTGATGAGATTGTTCCTTGGGTCCTGAGGGAACTGATGGATGTAGTTTCTAAGCCACCACCTATAATTTTCCAGAAATCCTGGCAGTCAGGTGAAGTCCCTAATGACTGGAAAAAGGGAAATATTACCCTGTTTTTAAAAAGGGGAAAGCAGAAGAACAAGGGAACTACTGTCCAGTCTGCCTCACCTCTGTGCCTGGCAAGATCATGGAGCAGATTCTCCTGGAAGCTGTGCTTAGGCACATGAAAAGCAAAGAGGTGATTGTTGATAACCAGCAAGGGTTTACCAGGGGCAAGTCATGCCTGATGAATTTGGTGCCTTTCTATGATGGGGCCACAGAATTTGTGGATAGGGGCAGAGCGGCTGATGTCATCTACCTGGACTTATGCAAGGCGTTTGGGAGTGTCCCACACAGCATCCTTGTCTCTAAATTGGAGAGACATGGATTTGATGGGTGGACCACTGGGTGGATAAAGAACTGGCTGGATGGTCCCACGCAAAGAGTTGTGGTCAGTCACTCATGGTCCATGTGGAG